GGCGGGGCGGGGCGGGACGCGCGCAGCGGGGTGAGGGCCGGGGGTGGGGGCGCACCACGCGCTCGTCGCCGGAGTCCGAGTCGGAGCTGGAGTCGTCGGCGCTGTCGCGGTCCCCGTAGCGATCCTTGACTGCGGGGCACGGGCGGATCCCCCCCACCACAAATCAGCCCCACAGATCCAACCGCGCTCCCCGACGCGGCCCCGCGCGCGCGCTCCCGGGCCCGCACTCACGCCGCTGCAGCTCCTCGCGCTCCCGGTAGCGGCTGTACCGAGCGGCGAACGCCGCGTTCACCCGAAGCGGCGAAGCCCCGCGCGGTTCCGGCATGGCGGCCCTGCGAACCACTGCGCACGCGCCGAGGGCCAGCCACCTCCCCTCTGGCTGGGGGCGTGGCCCAACTGCGCACCGCCCACCGTGAGCTTTTTAAAGGGGCGTGGTCTCCGAAGCCGCGCCCCGCCCCGCCCTCTTCCTTTCCGGGACCCAGTTCGCCCGGCGACCGCAGCCCACGCCCCTGCGGGGAAGGCCGCGGCCGCCGCCCACCCTCCCCGCCCGCGGGGCTCCGGGCCGCCAGCTGACATCTGGGGGCCCTTTCTCCATCGCGGTTTCCGGCCTCCCTTCCGCTGCGACGGCGCCGAGCGCTGCCCCACCCAGCTGACCCGCCCCGGCGCCCTGGGAATGACCGCCGTCTCCCCCCACCCCCCAGCACCAGCGGCGACCCCCACCATCCCCGACCCACCCATCAAAGAGGCCATCTGCGCTGCGATCATGCACCAAGTCTTAATTTAATGAGTAAAAACATTAAATTATCACACGCAACAATTTCTTCCATAAAGCTTAATAAATAGAATCTATGTGGGTTTTTTTTTTCCCCGAACGCTGTACAGAGAGACTGGAAAACAAGTTTCCAACAACAACAACAACAAAAAAAGATAAACTCATGCTACCTCCCCTCCCCTCCCGTGCCCCCAGCAGGCCTCCCTGGGAGCCGCGACCCCCGCGCAGGGCCCGGGGCTTCTGCAGCCTGGGGCGCACAGGCAACCGAACCGTTTAGGCTGTGACGGCAGGAGCCCTCCTCTGTCCAACGCACCAGGAGGGGTGAGAAAAACAAACGGGAAACGTTCCCCAAACGCGCGCGCACACCCAGCAATCAACACCCAGAAGCCACACACCGTGCGCCTCCGCCCACGCACGCAGCCAGAAGAGAAAGTGGGGTGTGTGTGTGTGTGTGCCTCCCCCTCCTCTTCTGACAAATGACCCAGCGGGGTTTCTCTGGCTGGAGCCGCTGGCCCTGGGTCACAGCGGGGCCCCCGCGTGCCTCTGCAGGATGTCCAAGAGGTCCCGAGCCCCTCTCTGCCGCGCCAGCTCCAGGGGCGTGAGCCCCCGGGCGTCCCTGTGCTGCAGATCCGACTCGGCGGCCAGGAAGCTGACCACGGCCGCGTGGCCCTCCCGCACGGCCAGGTGGATGGGGAGCGCCCCGGCGCCGTCCGGCACGTTGACGTCGGCTCCATGATCCACGAGGACCTTGAGGGTGTCCAGGAACCCGGTGCGCGCCGCGTCGTGGGCCGGGGCCGTGCCAGAGGCGTCCTGGACGTTGGGGCTAGCGCCCTGCTTCAACAGCTCCAGCGCAATGCTGGGGCTGCCAAACATCATCACCTGTGGGGGGGGCGGGGCAGAGGGTCAGGAGGCCCCCCCAAGGGGCCGCGGAAAGGGCGTTAGGGGGCAGAGGACGGGACCCGTCCCTGGAGACCCTGGGCATCCCAGGGAGTAAGTTCTCTTGGGAACAGGGACACCTCCCACCCCCCCACCCACCCCCCGTCGCCCTTAAGGATGAGATCCCAACCCAGAAAAAAAGCCCCCTGTGGAAACTCTCAAGGAGCTTAAGACCCTCCCCACGAGAGACGCCCCCCGCCCCGCCCAGATGCGGGAAATCACCAGGAATTGCGAGACCCCTTCCGGAAACGGGCCCGCCCCCATCAGCTTGCGAGTCCTGTCCAGGGTACCCACCGGGAGCGGCCCCCCTCCCGGGGATGCGCCTGAGCCCCCAAAGTGCCCTGCGTGCCATCCGACACTGCCACTCCGGCGAGATCCCCATCATGCCCCCGGAGGAGGACCCCAGCCCCCACCGCGGGTAACCAGGCACCTCCCAGAGAATCCACCCCCCAACACACACACACACACACACACACACACGCCCTCCTCCCCCTCTAAAAGCCCTAGGAAACTCGAGCCCTCCCTGGGGAGCAGGGATCCGAGGCAGCCGAACCCCCTCCCACGGAATAAGAACCTCCCCGGGGAGGGCGAATTCCTCCGCACGCCGAGAACAACGGGCCCTCCAGAGAAACGCGAAGCCCTCCCCTCCCCCCCACCCACCTGCGAAAGGGGGACCTCGGGGAGCCGCACCCGCCCGCAGAAGCTGGACCGGGCCCTAGGCTGTGTCACCCCTTAGAGCAAGGAGGGAAGAGGGGGAGTCCCGCTGCCCACCCCTCCATCCCCACCCCCGGCCTGGCCAGGAGGCAAGCGGGAAGGGGGGTGCCTGAGGTCCCTCTGCCCACCCCACCCCCGGCCCGGCCCGGCCAGGAGGCGAGCAGGAAGAGGGGGGTCCCGCTGCCCACCCCTCCACCCCCACCCCCGCCCGGCCCGGAGGCGAGCGGGAAGGAGGAGGCCTGGGGTCCCGCTGCCCACCCCCACCCCCGGCCCGGCCCGGAGGCGAGCGGGAAGGAGGAGGCCTGGGGTCCCGCTGCCCACCCCCACCCCCGGCCCGGCCCGGAGGCGAGCGGGAAGGAGGCCCGGGGCCCCGCTGCCCACCCCACCCCCGGCCCGTCACCTGCAGCGCCGTCTTGCCGAAGCGGTTCAGGGCGTCGGGGTGCACCAGCTCGCGGTGCAAAAGCCGGCGCACCT